GCACGCACGCACGCACGCACGCACGCACGCACGCACGCACGCACGCACGCACGCACGCACGCACGCACGCACGCACGCACGCACGCACGCACGCACGCACGCACGCACGCACGCACGCACGCACGCACGCACGCACGCACGCACGCACGCACGCACGCACGCACGCACGCACGCACGCACGCACGCACGCACGCACGCACGCACGCACGCACGCACGCACGCACGCACGCACGCACGCACGCACGCACGCACGCACGCACGCACGCACGCACATTTTGTAAAAATAATATTTTTAGACGTTTTAAAACATTTTAAACATATTCCCAAAGAAAACTGGAAAAAAATTTTTGTCACGAAAACAAAGCTTCCTCTATGAGGAAGCAAAATACACTCAATCATGCATTGACGGTCTGAAATAACCATCAAATTGAGTGTAAACCTTCATGAAACACTCGATTATGAAGGGTTACACTCAATTTGTTGGATATTTCGGACCGTCAACGTATGATTGAGTGTATTTTTTCATAAGGGTTGCGCCAAGTATAAGCGAACACCATACGCGCAAGACCGATCGCGTATTATTACGCGAGTACTCGAGTTGGGAGGCCCTTTTCTGGGCCATATGATGTGCAAAATCCGACCGGCAACTTCCCCGTGGTGTACATCGGGTAATGCCAATACCGGCGGTATATGCTAATAATGCAAGGGTTTTAAAATACTGTATCCTTGCGAAAAAAATGTCAGCGACTTTTTTTCTTTTAAATTGAAGAGAAAGGATCGTACTTTATGCTCTGCAAACAGTATCCCCGAAACAATATAGCAAGTCCATGCACTCCGTCAAACTTCGTAATTTTCAATATAATAAACAGGCCCTCACATTTAAGGTATTACAGTGATAGGGATGCATCACACCTAAAATCGAACTATAGTAACTTAAAGTAGAGATTTCAAGCTTTAATTAAAAAAAAAGAACATAATTTTACGCTGATTTTTCGTGGAGTTACCGTCAGTTAAAATTGACCAATTTTTGCATAACATTTTTCTATGCCATATTTCTTTTGAACAGTGTAGAATGGTTAAAAGTGAGAGAAAGAGAGGGAGGGAAAGAGAGAGAGGGAGGGAAGGGGAAATCGGTCAGTTTCAAAGAGTAAAGAGACACAGGAGGGAGCATTTCTGTCAGGGCGATGCGACGGAAGTGCCCTAGGCATTGTGGGTAAAGTGGATCGTCAATATGGTCACTCATGGGCGCCAATATTAAATAATGACTTTTCAACATTGTAGCATGATGAAACTACGAAAAGTAGTTCAAAATTTTCAGTAGCTGCTGATGTTATGCCACAGGCCTGGCAATGCACCATATTGCGCTTGTAATATTTTACTCACTTAA